CGCCATTTTGAAAATCGCTTAGGTGATTATCGCGTAATAATCACCTCAACGGTAACCAATCAGCGTGGAGAATTTTCAATAATCACCTATGTAATTATACTAAATATCAATAGTCAAAGAAACAACAAATTAAAGAACAAATGAACGTATATACATGAAATATTTTATTGTTAAAGCGTTATTATTAAACACTGCAGTTACTTAAAGCGAAAGTTTTAATTACGTACTAGGCATGTCCAAAGGTCGCATCTTCACGTGATGGCGCACTTTTTTTTTTGTTATTCGCCGGTCGATAACGTATTGTTTCCCTCTCGCGCTGTTGCGAGGGAGACAGCCTAATTTCGTCACTCTCACGTGATATGCTCCCAACCAATAAAACACTAGAAAAATGCGACTTTGACTTGAGTTTGACTATCGATATATAATAACCTATAGAGATTTACTAGTCAACTAGTCAATCAGAACGCGCGAAAACTCATTTGATATGCAACATTTACACTAAAGTGGGTTAATTACCAGTTATGAAATTAATACATATATACAAGGGCAATTTGTAAGTTTTTTAGATACGTAATACTTTTCTGAAAACTCATTATTTGATGTGATGTGATGTGATGTCACACCGGTGATATTTGATAAGTTGAATATCTTGAAAAGGGAGAAAGTTACCAAAATTCTATAAAAGAAATTATTTCAGTCATTTTAATAAGTGATCTTTACAATGTAACCATAAACCTTTGGGGTGAAATTTCGTGTTATAGGCACTTTAAGGCGAATCGAGAAACGACAACCAATAGCGATCGTAGATTTTTCGTCTCGTTAATGATATTAATGAGGCAGTTCGTATGTTTTCGTCCTTAGACAGTTACATGCAAGTCAACTATTCATTAGTTTGATATAATTAGGGTTGGCGTTCGCAGTTAATTTTATCAATTAGTATGTATTATGACTTCCTTACTACGCTTAAGCCACTGCAAATATTGCAAAAAAAGGCAATACGTTTAATGACCTTCTCCAAATTTGATGCACACTCAAGCCCCCTGTTTAAAGACCTTAAAATAATAAAGTTTCTTGACCTTGTTAATTTACATATTACAATTTTCATGCATAAATTTCATAATAATAATTTGCCAACTGCATTTAATAATCTCTTTACTCCTGTCAACGAGACAAAATCGTCCTACTCTATTCCCAAAACAAGAACAAATTATGGAATTTTCATTCTAAGATATCAAGGAGCTAAAGTATGGAACTCTCTTGATGAAACAAAAAAAGCTCTATCTCTTTCCTCGTTAAAAAAATAATTCAAAAGCTAATTTTATCAATGGTTATTGATAAATTATGGCGTGTTTGGTTAATTTTCGTAGATTGTTTATTTTCTATGTAATGATTAACAAAATCTCCTAAATGATGTGCAGCGGTTGTTTTCTTTGTTTTCTTTGTCTGTGTGTTCTCTCTCTCCGTGTTTCGACCTAGTGTGTTTATACCCATCATACAAATCTATCATCCAAAAAATAATTGTGAATCTTTCACTATAGTGATAGTGGCTGCCCGACATCTAGCCCTTTACGGTTATTACGGGTAGCCAGTACCTATATATTTGATATATTATACTAAGTGAATTGTAATAGTGTAATAGTTTTTTTTCTTTGGGGTGCAAATAAATTGTTGTTGTTGTTGTTGTTGTTGTTGTTGTTGTTGTTGTTGTTGTTGTTGTTGTTGTTGTTGTTGTTGTTGTTGTTGTTGTTGTTGTTG